CCTCTGCTACGAGGACAGGCTGAGGGAGCTGGGGTTGTTCAGCCTGGAGAAGAGGAGGCTCCGGGGAGACCTAAAAGCGGCCTTCCAGTACCTGAAGGGGCCTACAGGAAGGCTGGGGAGAACCTGTTTACAAAGGCCTGGAGTGACAGGACGAGGGGCAATGGCTTTAAGCTGGAGGGGAACAGATTTAGACTGGAGATGAGGAGAGGGTTCTTCACTGTGAGGGTGGTGGAGCACTGGAACAGGTTGCCCAGGGAGGTGGTTGAGGCCCCATCCCTGGAGATATTCAAGGTGAGGGTGGATGAGGCCCTGGGCAACCTGGTCTAGTTGGGGGTGTCCCTGCTGACTGCGGGGAGGTCAGACTAGATGACCTTTGGAGGTCCCTTCCGGCCTGGACAACTCTATGATTCTATGGGAACGTGGATGGAACCGGGGATGGGACTGGGGTTACGGACAGGCCAGGAGTCCCCCAGTCTCCGGGGATGGGAGCATAGAATCATAGAATCATCTAGGTTGGAAAAGACCTTTGGGATCATCCAGTTCAACCATCAACCCTACTCTACAAAGTTCTCCCCTACACCATATCCCCCAACACCACAGCTAAATGACTCTTGAACTCATCCAAGGATGGTGACTCAACCACCTTCCTGGGCAGCCTATTCCAGTCTCTGACCACTCTTTCTGTGAAGAATCTCTTCCTCACGTCCAGTCTAAAGCTACCCTGTTGGAGCTTGAAGCCATTCCCTCTCATTCTGTCACTAATTACCTGTGAGAAGAGACCAGCACCAACCTCTCTACGGTGTCCTTTCAAGTAGTTGTAGAGAGTGATGAGGTCTCCCCTCAGCCTCCTCTTCCTCAAATTAAACACTCCCAGCTCCATGAATTGTTCTTTGTACTATTTATTCTCCAGCCCCCTCACCAGCTTCGTTGCCTTCCTCTGCACCCGCTCCACCACCTCGAGATCTCTCTTGGATTGAGGTGCCCAAAACTGGACACAATACTCCGGGTGTGGCCTCACCAGTGCTAAGTACGGGGGGACAATCACCTCCCAACTTCTGCTTGTCACACTGTTTCTAACACAAGCCAGGATGCATGGATGGGACCAGGTCTGGGAATGGACATTTTCCCTCCAGGGGCTGGGACTGGGACTGGAGACCGACCAGTCTCCCCTCCCCACCACGGTGATGGGAACCAGAGCTGGAACTGGGCTGCTGCTCAGAGACGGGAGAACCCCCTCCAAGGGTGGAATCGTGGGTGGGATCGGGGCAGGAGCACCCATTCCAAGGATGAGATCATGGGTAGGATCAAGGCTGGGACCAGGGCTGGATACCACCCGCCCAGGGCCAGTCATCCCACTGCATCCAAGCTCCCCCCAATCCACAGAGGCCCCAGGGTCCCCAGCGAGCTGCCTCTCCCGGGGGGTGCCCTGGTGACACCCTCCCCTCCACCCTTGGGTGCCTTAGTGGTGGATTCTGCCCCGGGCAGAGCCCACAGTTGTGGTGTTGGGGGATATGGTGTAGTTGAGAACTTTGTAGAATAGGGTAGATGGTTGGACTTGATGATCCCAAGGGTATCTTCCAACCTAGACGATTCTATGATTCTATGGAGCAGCCACATGGTGTTCCCAGGGCCAGCTCTGGAGGGGAAAAAATGCCTCTGAACCAGTTGGATGAGCCCTGTTTGGGACTCAGCCATGGCCACTCTGATGTGGGACACTGCTCCACCATAGGTGACACCAAACTCTGCCCTATGGACCCCAGGTAGGGTACCAATGCATCTCAGGTGATGTCCCACAGTACACACAAGGCAGTAAGGGGGTCCCAGGGCCAGCTCTGGAGGGGAAAAAATGCCTCTGAACCAGTTGGATGAGCCCTGTTTGGGACTCAGCCATGGCCACTCTGATGTGGGACACTGCTCCACCATAGGTGACACCAAACTCTGCCCTATGGACCCCAGGTAGGGTACCAATGCATCTCAGGTGATGTCCCACAGCACATCCCTCACTGCAAGCCGGCTTCATTTCCAAGGGAAGCAGAGGGATGGGGGACAAGAGATGGTAAAGGGACTTTGACTCCAATTTTAGCTCTAATTTTAGCTCTAATTTTAGCTCTCTGGATCAGTTCCCACCCATCAGTCAGAGAGCTGTCAAGTCAAAACCAGCTGCATCGCCATGAACTCCCTGGGGTGGGGGAATTTATTTTTGAAAAGAGTAATTTGGGGGTCTGATTTGTCACAGCTCCAGTCTCATTTTCCTGGGAACCACCTGCCAGCAAAATGCTTCTTCCTTGGGGATCCAGGTAAACGCTTGGGAAAGGGGATGCTGCACCTTTTTATTCTCAACGTTGGGACTTTTGCTTGAGCTGTTGTTCCTTGCCCTGTCTTCTGCAAGCTTCTGGGGTCTGGGTTCAACCCATCTACTGCAGAGGGTTAAAATTCCTGACCCGTTAAAAGGTTTCTTTTAACAGGTCTCTTTTAAACAAGGTCTCTTTTAAGATTCCTGACCTGTTACAAGGCATCCTCTGCTGGGATGCAAAACATCTCCAGAAACCTAAGGGCAAACTGGACCATACCATGGAACCAAAGTTCTTCAAGTGCCCTAAATTTCTAGGAAATATGTTGAGTTTTGGTGTGAGCTGGGGGTTGTATCTACCACATGCCCCAAACACCTTATGGAGATGTTCTGGTGTTTGTCCCCACTCAGTCCTGGCAACATGGCCTCCCAAGAAGTAACCCCTGCAGCTTTGGAGGACCACCACTGGCTTTGTGACCTGCCAGAATTTCGAGGAAATATATCGAGTTTGGGTGCTGTGGGTGTGAGCTGAGGGCTTTTATCCCCCATATCCCCCCAACACCCTATAGAGATGCTCTGGGGTCTGTCCCCACTGAGTCATGGCACGACATGACCTCCCAAGAAGCTATGGATGGCCACCACCATCTTTGTTACCTGCCCTTTCCCTGCAGGTGTTTGATGCCCAAGTGAAGCAGTGACCAGGTTCGACATCCCCAGTGGGGCTCACTCATCTGGACTGAAAACCTTTCAAATTTGGGGGTGCTGGCAGATTTCTGGGCAGGATGAGGCTGGAGAAGAAGCCCCATCGAATCATGTGCAGGTGGCCCCTTTGTTTTCCACCGTTGTGAGCACAGAGCCAGCCCCAGCAGTGCTCCTCTGTGTATTCCCCATCCGAGTCCATGGGTGTAAGCCAGATCTTCCTTCCACAGCTGGATCTGATTTCATGTGGGGGCTCCTCGGATGCCCTGGATATGGCTGGGGGCGACCATGAAGACCCTGAGGGAGGAGAGGAAGGGCACCGGTGGCATCTATTATTCAAAAGCAGAAAGTGGCAGCCAGCTAAGGAGGCATTAGCCGATGCGAAGAGGATATGAATGTCTGGCACAGAAACGGTGCTGCAGAGATCCTGCTGACGGACCTCCATGCCAGAAAACAACAGCAACAAAAAAAAAATTGCCTGTTTCCTTCTTCTGATGTAATTTGTTTGAGAAGGGAAAACAATACATCACGTCGTAGCTATTTGGGGCTGATAAGGGAGGAAGGACAAGCTTGTTGCTTGCACAGAGGGAGGGAGATGCCTGGGCAGAGCCGTTGAGTGAGGCTCGGACCGGTGAAGCTGCTGAGCAGAGCCCTGCTGGGATGCCAACGTGGTGCTGGACCACCCTGTTTTCATCCTCCAAATCCTTCCCCCTGGCTCCCTCTGAAGGAGGGATGGTGTCCAGAGATGATGGATGGAGATATGGGTGACATCCAGAGAAGGGCTGTCTGTCCTTGCATGAGCTTGGGCTGGTGGGATGATGGCTGCTTCTCAGCCTGATCTTCCAAGGCCTGAACACCCTCAGCTCTTCCCCTGCAAGATAAAGACAAACAACTCAAGACAAGAGGCAGGCGGCTTTTTCATGTCAAGGGGTGATTAATTATGGCCATGGCTAGCTGAGAGGTTTGGTCGGCGGCTCGTTGCTGGATGCTTCCCCAAGCAAGAGGAGATGTTTTTCTAAAAGCTTGTTTGGAGCAGGGAAGTGGTCCCCTAGAGAGTTCCTCTTCCCATCAGACATTCTCCAAGCCTGGTTGAAGTCCAAGCAGCCTACAGCAAGCAAGAGCTTCACTTCCGACTGCAAGGAAAAGCCTTTCCTTCCCCTTCTTTTGCATTTTCTCCCTTTTTTCCACTCATTTGGGTGCAGGGGAGATGGGAGGAAGGTTGACGTTCACCCAACTCGCCTTACTCATTCCCGCCCTTCATGGGGGTGATGGTCACCCATTGCCCAGGGGATCCAAACCAAGAGCCTCCCTCCCCTAAAATCTCCGTTTTCCAGCTCCGAAGCAG